ATTATTAAAATTGCTCAGTGATTGATGTTGCTGTCACAGTTCTTACTTTCATTTTTCACCTGTTTGCTAGTTATTTTATTTAAGGTATCTGAGATAAATGATCTGCTCCGTCTTTCAGTATGGTAATACATGTCACGTATGTGGTATTCAAACTCTCATTGGTAGCATTGACTACTCAACAAAGCATCAGCTGAGGTTATCTTTATTGTAGTTTATGCTGCTGTTCTGCTGCGATGCGGCAAAAAATATAAGCCATTTTGAAAACAGAATTTTTGCCTGATGCAGTTGCAAATGGTAAAGACAAAAACTCCTTTTAACATGACTGAATGGATGTCTTTTATAGTGTGTGGCAGCATCATGTCACATGTAGTTAAGACATGGTGTCATCTAGTAAGACGTTTACTATAAGGAGCCCAATCATCTTGCAGATAAATTTCCCCTAAGGGTATTCTGCTGTATCTGGCAACAATTTGTAGCAGATAATCTGTAAAATCCTCTGCTAAAATGGATAAAATTTGTTGGTCTAGTACAGGGGGGCCAAAACTCTTGGCCCTTGAGGGCCAGTGTCCTATAGACTGATTTCACACCTGCCGCCATTAATAAAGCTAAATCAAGCCTGCGGTGGGAAGAAACCCGGAAGTATAGCCTGAGTAACACAGGAATGTTGTGTACCTGGCTGTATATCTTATCAGAGAAGAGAAGGCTACACAAATATATAATATCTTCCGAGTGACCCGAAGGTCCGTTCTGTATGGAAAGTGAAAATTAAACAGGATATCTGACCTCATTTTCAGCTAAGTTAAGGGAAATGCCACTAGTTAGCCAACATTTTCTTTCCCAAACACTTGTTTTAGATGCCGTTTATCAAACTCAAGTTGATGAACTAATTCTTTTATTATATTAAACTTGTCAAGATCCTGAATTGTTACTGAAATTTATAAAAACCATCAATTTCCCTCTAACATTTAGGCACTGTTGAGTGCAACACAGCTAATTTGCCATAGTATTCACCAGTGCTCAACAGAAAGGACTGTGATTGGCCGTGGAGGTCATCAGTTCACCCCACTTCGTCGCTGTTTACCGAGTGCAAACACAGACGAGCGATCAGCTGATGACTCGACTGATCTTTGTGGCTTTAAAACACTCCACTGTTCGTGCATCTGTGTTTGCACTCAGTGAAGAGCGGTGAACTGATGACCTTCAAGGCCAATCACAGTCATCTCTGTTGAGCACTGGTGAATAGTATGGCAAATCAGCGATGTTTAAGAACGCGCTCAGCGGCGCTTAAATGTTAGCGGGAAATGGACGTTTTTAAAACTTCAGTACCGGGAGAACACTATTACAGACAACACGAGGATATGCTACAGAGGACTGCATTGTTTTATTGTTCACTGGGTGACATAGGCTGAAGCAGGGAAGCCCCCACTGTGTTTACCTGGTGCCATGAACTGAAGCCCAGAACGATACTCTTAAAGAGATAATGATGTTGTTTGATGCCTAAAGTTAAACTGAACTGAATGACATTAAAGTGATGTTTACACCATATCTGCGTTTTGAAATCGTGGCAACAGCTGGAGGTTTAGAGTCCACAGCATGTTGTTGTAATATTTACAGTGCTGATCCTATACTTCCGGGTTTCTTCCCACCGTAGCCTCGCTTTCTTGTTTAAAAATGGCGGCCACTTGAATAAGCGTATAGTTTAGCTCAATTATACACACCTAAACCAGCTAATCAAGCTTGAACTGGTTCAGATCTTTCCTTGAAAGAAAGGGTTATATGTCAGTATAGGTGACCTTCTGTAGAGGTAAACACCCACAATATTCAATTCTGGCACCTCTCCTGTTCAACCTGTATATGCTCCCACTGAGCCAAATAATGAGAAAGAACCAAATCTCCTATCACAGCTATGCTGATTTTCTTTTTTTAGTTAAACAACGAGAAAAATGAAGTCATTGCATTTGGCAACAGAGATGTGGTTCTCAAGGTGAATGCGTACCTTGGCTCTAAGAGTCAAACACCAAAAAAAAATAAGGTGTAAGAATCTTGGTGTTATTCTGGAGTCAGATATGAGTTTCGATAGTAATATAAAAGCAATAAGTAAATCAGCCTACTATCATCTCAAAAACATTGCAAGAATTAGATGCTTTATTTCCAGTGAGAACTTGTTCACGCTTTTATCAGCAGCAGGGTAAATTAATGTAATTGACTCCTCACTGGCCTTCTTAAAAAGACAGTCAAACAGTTGCAACTCATCTAGTTTACTGACTAGAATTCTGACCAGAACCAGAAAATCAGAGCACATCACACCTGTCCTCAGGTCTTTACACTGGCTCACAGTTACATTCAAGATAGACTTTAAAGTGTTATTACTTGTCTATAAATCACTAAATGGCCTAGGACCTCAATACATTACAGCTATGCTCACTGAATACAAACAATACAGATCACTCAGATCTTTAAGATCAAATAAATCAGAAATTCCAAGAGTTCAGTCAATGCAGGGTGATTCTGCCTTCAGCTACTACGCCCCTCGCTGCTAGAATCAGCTTCCAGAAATGATCAGATGTGCTCCAACATTAGGCACATTCAAATCAGGAATAAAAACACATCTATTTAGCTGTACCTATACTGAATGAGCACTGTGCTACATCCAACAGATCGCACTTTCTTTTCTTTTTCATTCTTTTATAACCTGTTGTAACACACTTTAATCTGTTTTAATCACTCTTATTATTTGCTTTTATTTTCTTATACATGTCTCTTTTATTTCTGTTTATGTGAAGCACTTCAATTTGCCACTGTGTATGAAATGTGCTATATAAATAAAAATGCCTTGCCTAACTAGCATACTAGAAACTTCCTGGCAGGTGTGTTGAAGCAAATTGTAGCTAAACTCTGCAGGACACCGGCACTCCAGGACAGAGTTAGGACACATCTGGTCTAGTACATCCCACTGATGTTCAGTAGGACGGAGATTTGGGATATCCTGAGGTCTACAAAACCCTCCATTGGTGCTACTACTTCGCCAGGAAAATGGTGCACACATACACATCCATGTGATGTAAAAGAAAAAGAGGGATTCCTCTTACAGCCACATAGGAAACCGTGTGATGCATTGTGCCATATCCCACACATAAGCATCATAATACTGTGAGACCACAAAGGATCTTTTGTGCCTCAGATCTGATGGTATTAATATTGCCTTCTGGCGTAGATGAGTATTAAGCACCCAATATCCTGTCACTGACTTGTGGTTTGTCCTTACTTGTACCACTGCTGGTAAACCCTCACTACGGAAACCCGGGAGCAATGCAGAAGCCTTGTTGTTTTAGACATACTGTGACCCAGTTGCCTTACCATAACAATTAGGCCCTTACCAAGGTAGTTTCAACCTTTAATTATAAGACCTCAAACCTTATCCCTCCTAAAGTTTTAGCTCATCAGTATGTGTATACAGTCTGTGTGTTTTAAATACAGGGGAGATCTAAATTAGTGGACAAACTATAATTTCCTTAACGTCAATGCCACTGAGTAGTCCTATTTAAAGTTATTCTAACAGGAGCAAGAGAACATTTTTTTTTTGTCAAAAAGAACGCTGATCAAAAATCGAGAACACTTTCAGATACCTCAAAGTTATTTTTGGTAATCTGGCACCTAATTGTAATTTCTAGAGTACTGCATCTTTAAAATGTCAATCATTCAATCCCCCAAAAAGTGAGTTATCTTTATTAGACAAATGCACAAGAGGACAGAATAATGCAGAGAATCTAAATGGGCAGTCAGTTCAATTGGTCACCAGTTCAGCTTTGAACAAGGTGAGAATCCAACATGGGCTCATTCTGAAAACCTAGTCCTAGCCCTATATACATTTCTGGCGGTCGCAAATCATGTGGCCAAAAGTACACATGGCTGCAGCTCACTTTAAAACGAATGCTACGGGGCGGTATGATGCCATTCCTTTTTGCACTAACAAGCGGACCATTTACCTCCGTATGGACAGCTTTCCCTCTGTTACTAGTTTGTTCAGTTAGCTCGCCATTTACGTTAGCGAACTTGAGATGCAGAGAGGAGTTGGCCATGACGACGGGGTTTGAGTCTGGTTGAGTATGGTTCCAGAAAGCGGGTGAGACAAAAACAGAAGCCAAAAAATAAAATAAACAAATAAATAACAGGGTGAGAATGTGGTAAAATCTTAAAACGTGGTAAAAATCAGACAAGGGCTTTTATTTTTCAGGATTGCTTGGTTGGGTTTAGGAAAGAGGGTGAGCGCTGGTCAATCGGTGCTTTTGAAAACACTATTGGTTGGGTTTACAAAAAAACGGTCAGTCAGTCAGTCAGCCGTTCAGTCAGTCAACAGGGGTCTCTGGATTTAACCAAGAACAGCAGGCGCAAATGGCACTGAGATAAATTTGAGATTTCAAAATGCCTACTGAACAGCCTCTGGTGGATTTGTGAAGACAAAAACTGCAAGAAAAAACAAATTTAACTCCTGGGACGTATTTGGTGCTCTCTAGAAATGTATACAGCTGTACGTTCTCAGAATGAGTCTGGGTTGTAAGAATCTGCATCTTTGCACACACTGTCTTGATGTTTAAGACTAGTGCTGCATCCGAAATCCCCTACAACTCATTAGGTACTACATTTGAATTTACATTTACTACACGACCATTGGAAAAGTACGTTCTATATAGTATGAATGCAAGTAGTATGAATGAAACTCAAATATACATCTGCCATTTTGTCATGATCATGTGATCTACCCTCATTCAGTTGCATCGCTTCACTCCCATTCATGAATTTACCCGCATGGCATCATGGGATAGTGTAGCGCCCATCAGATGCGCACTTCAGAATCTCGCTGGAAGTAGGAGGTCACCCGGGTTCTTCTCACATACTGTTTTTGAATACTATGAATTTGCACATACTACTCGGCTTGCATACTGTTTGGAAGTGTTTGGAAATATGCAATTTCGGACACAGCGATCATGCTGGTGAGCATGTTTTGTTAAAGTTTTACTAATTAAATTTTTTTTATCCAATTCATGTGTTCAGAATTTGTTCTCTAATTTTGATCTCCACACAGATATTTGGTTCTATGATATAAGGGCATGTTTTGCTTTCTCTGCTCACTTTTGAGACCATTGCAGGTTCATTTCAGACATCTGGGAGAAGGCGGAGAGCATCTCCTGCTGGTATGCAGAGAGGATGGGCACTGGGCTGCTTGACGGGCTCTGGGTCGGTGTTGTAAATGCACACTGGATCTCCTCCATGGTGGTATTCCTCACAAAGAGCTCGTCATTCACGATACACAAACTGTAGAGTGCAACAAACAACAAAAAGCATGCACCAAATCAACTCTGTGACAAATAAAATGTTTTAATTGACTGCTGAATAGTCAATCTTGCACATGAATGGACAGTGTGTCTGAGGGTGGAAAAAAGTGAATTAAGTCATTACCGTTTTAAATAATAAAATTACACCAAAAACCAAAGAAAGCAGCAGCCGTGAAACTAAGAGTTTTTATTTAGCCAGTCAAAATCTAATGCTTGCTTTTCCTACCCAGAATTCTGAGCTGGAACTGTGACGAAGACTCTGGAAAATGCTTTGAATAAGTCCTCTGATTGGTCATCAACTGAGAGGAAAATAAAATAATTTTGAGTTAACACAGTGCTATTTTATTAACACATTATTATTCTGAGACATGTAACTGTCTGAACACAAGACTTACCCTCCTTGAACACTCCACTCACTGTGAACGCTAACAAAGTGCTCTATGGAGAGGAAAATTAGATGTCAAAAAAAGTGAATTGCAAAACAGGAGCATTTATGTATGTTCAAATGATTGAGAAACTCACCGCATATGCGTTGACATCAACGTTGATTGAATTAATGTCATGCTGGGTCTTTGGGAGTTCATTTAGGCACGCAACCACAGTCAGGCGGGTGTGCTTTAGCAAGCGAAAACGAGTGGCTGTAAAGAAGAAGATGACCGTACATGACAATTACACATCTGGGGGTTTTTAAACTTAAATTTGATTTCTCGTCATGAGTGTAACATACGGGAATCTTTGATGTTCTTGACATTGCGACTGTTTTTGAAATAGTCCAGTTTGTACCTACAAAATTACAGAAAAATTAAGTTAAAAGTACAACAATTTAAAAGAACGACTTTCTATTTTAATACAATCCATTTCAGTCAAACATTTAACAGTACTGCACAATGTTACAAAGCTTTCAAATCAAAAACGCAAATTTCTAATCAGCCAATCACATGGGAACAACTTAATGCATTTAGGCATGTAGACAAAGTCATGACGATCTGCTGCAGTGTCACTCCTGTCAGCTTAGAACAGGAAACTGAGGCTACAATTCTCACAGGCATACCAAAATGGACAATAGAAGATTGGAAAAATGTTGCCTACTCTGATGAGTCTCAATTTCTGAAGCGACAATCGGATGGTCGGGTCAGAATTTGGCTGCATTAACAACATGAAAGCATGGATCCATCCTGCCTTGTATCAACGGTTCAGGCTGCTGGTGGTGTAATGGTGATGGGAATATTCTCTTGGCAAACTTTGGGCCCTTTGGTACCAATTGAGCATCACGTCAACGCCACAGCCTACCCCAGTATTGCTGCTGACCATGTCCATTCCCTTTATGACCACAGTGTACCCATCTACTGATGGATACTTCCAGCTAGATAACGCACCATGTCATAAAGCGTGAATCATCTCAGACTGGTTTCTTGAACATGACAATGAGTTCACTGCACTCAAATGGCCTGTACAGTCATCAGATCTAAATCCAATAGAGCCCCTTTAGGGCCGACAAATCTGGATGCTACCATGTCAATATGGACCAAAATCTCTGAGGAACATTTACAGTACCTTGTTGAAACTATGCCACGAAGGATTAAGGCAGTTCTTAAGGCAAAAGGGGGTCCAACCAGGTACTAGTAAGGTGTATCTAATAAAGTGGCCGGTGAGTGTAGTTTCAACTAAGGGTGTCACGATCCTCCAAATCCTCGATTCGATTACATCTTCGATTCTAAAGCCACGATTCGATCCGACTATGAATAATTAATTAATTAATGACCAATTAATTATTTGTAGCCTACCGTTTAAACCACCTGACCTGTATGGTTTTTGTTTTACCCATAAACAAATCATACAGTAAATGAATAAAGGCAAGATACAGACATAATTACCACCTGTCAATCACATTTTTCTGTGGGACTCGTGAATAGGCAGTGATCTGTGTCGTTATAATGACGTCGGTAAAAAAGACGCACAACCAACAGGAACCAGCCAACAGTATCTGAGGTGTTCGCTAAAATGACTAAGTACGAGTGAAAGATTGAAGCAGTCCTCTGACTACCTGGACCTGCTGTCTCGAGCGCATGGCTGTATGTGCGTCTGTGTGGTTATGTGATGTGCATTTTCAGAGGTAGAGAGGAAGGAGGGCTGCTCAGAAATGCTACACGCCACTGTGGATGTCAAATTGTTGTCATTCTAAAATGCCATTTAAAAACAAAGCCAGTGTAAACAGGGCCTGAGTGTGTATTTTTCGCAAGCGGATTTGCAACGTGGGCGGGCGGAGGATCGAAATGCCGGTGTTGTCTATCGGACGAACCGTACGTAATAAGTACATAGCAGAGCTTGCAAAACTGTATTTTTTTTGTCGACAACACGAACGTTGTCAACATAACTCACTGGAAATCCAAAATGCTTACACACCGGCGACTTCATTGAAAGAGGAGAGGGTTTAAGTTCTCTCGATGGGTCTCCTGCTTCTGCAGTTTAACAAGCACTTCAACAAGCCTGTTTTTCTCCCGCTTGGCAAGCCAAGCTAACGTGACATGGGGGCGTGGCAGCACTGACGATTCTATTTTTTGATTCGATAATCGAAATTGAGCATAAATTTCAATCGATTTCGATTAAAAATCAAAATCGTGACACCCCTAGTTTCTACATTACATAAAAATATAATACACATTGTAAACCTTGTCATTAGATTAAGTGTTTCACTCAGATATTGGCAAATTAAAAACATCTGGATGTTAATCTCAGCCTCAAGATAAACTACAATATGTTTTTATATACCAAGAGCTCAAACTGTACCTGGAGGGATTACTTATGGATGGCAGACAGAGAGAGAAGCAGGCACTCTCATGATACGCCTCCAGCAGCGGCTGTCTGTCCCCAGAGTCATAGATACTGTAATACCTGCCATGATACAAGCACAAACACACATCCCTGCTGTTGACAAAAAAACAGCTTCACAGTAAACATTAAGAGGCTCAATAAAACATGCATGCACTTACTGCTCCAGAAAACGCTGAATGAGACCCTGAATTTCATTGGAGACAAAGTGGCTGCCCTGAATTGGTTAGAGACATACAGTCAAACACTATGCACACTTCATGGGCCTGTACCATAAAGCCAGATTAGCTTAGAATATCAGTGAAGTTTCAGTTTAGTTTGCACCAATTTTAGGTTTTAGGTACCAGCTCATCTCAGCTGCTCCATAATACCATGACAACAAGGTGTGATTAAAGTACACATAAAACCTTAAACTGAACTGAAACTGAACTAGCTAGCCAGCGAATCAAGCTTCAAACTCAAATAAAAAAAGTATTTGTAATTAAAATAAAAATAATAATAATAACAAAAACAGTTACAAGAATCTAAATTATGGAATAAAATATGTGGTAAACTAAGAAAAAGCAGATATAGAAATAGAAGTTATGCAATAAAATAAATAAACCAAATATTAAATATTTAAAAAACTTTAGATATAGAGTATGTACACACTACCTGACAAAAGTCTTGTCGTCGATCCCAGTTGTAAGAGCAGCAAATAATAACTTGACTTCTAGTTAATCATTTGGAAAAGAGGCAGAAGGTGGATTTTTCTGATCAATTATGTGTTAAACTGCATCCCAATCATCACAAATACTGCAGAAGACCTATTGGAACCACATAAACTCAAGCTTCTCCCAGATATCTGTCAAGTTTGGTGAAGGAAAAATCATGGTTTGGGGTTACATTTAGTATGGGGGCGGCTTCTGCCACTTCTGATACCAAATGACCAACTAGAAGTCAAATTGTTATTTTTCATTCCAAAAACTTGGAGAGGCGACAAGACTTTTGTCAGGTAGTGTATAGAGTATGTACATGGTGTAGGCCCCATGCCAGCATAATAGACTTCTTTCATTACCTTGCAAAGAGGGATGTTTGAGCTTGTTTCAACCTCAAAACAGATTGGAAGGGAAAGAACATGGCCGTCCTATGAAAACAACAGCATTATAACTGATTTATTCACACATTAGCTACAGTGTGTTTCTATCCACCTATTTATACGTGCATTTTGAAATATCATGTCAAAAATACTTAACGGAGATGCAAGATGTGTATAAAAAAAATGCGATGGAAATATTAATAGAACAAATTCCAGTATGTGCATCAAAAAGGTCATGTGACTTTGTTTTAACAGATCATGCGATTAAAAAACAGGCCTGATGGGACAGAAATATTGGACAAATCATTCGAATGACCACATTGTAAAATATCTGAAATGTTGTTTTGGTCATTCTAAAGTCCCTCAGCCAAAGTCTGTCATCAAATTATTTGGTATTATTACCTCCCAGAACTGTCTTGAGCGTCTGCGCTACCAAAGAACATCTTACATCTCCAAAAGTCTCACATCTCCATTTATTGTGTTTCATTCTGAGGCGCACGTAATTTGTCATTTTAAAAACAGGTCAACAGAGGCTTCTCCTACCACAGCAAATTGCAATTTTCTTTGGTATTTGGTGCCAGTTTATCAGGAAGTGACGATTTTGTTCTCTTTGATCAGATCAAAGAGATTGAATGGAGCTTTATTCGAAAATGTTATTTGCGATATTTACTTTTGACATGCACAAGCAAAGCGTGCCATTATCACAGTAATTATTACTCACCACAGAGGAATTCACTCGTGAATATGTCTGATAATCTAATAATCCATATCGTTTGCAAATATTTGAGCAATGTTGTGAAATTGAAGCCAGCCTCTTTGTGATCCTTCTTGGCTTGAATTGTTTACTTGCTACATCTCACTCATGCTGATTCATTGCTAAATAACCAATCAGAATGCTCTCTGCAGCTGATGCTAATTCTACCCAACGAAGCAGGCCAAGTAGCTCTGACGCTAACACGATGAGAGGCGACATGTGGAACACTCCAACTAACTAGCCTGAATGATAAAGCTTGGTGTGTCCTGGCCCTAGTTAGTATCTTTGGATGGAGACATAGCTAACAGCTATGGCAAGCTGTTTTGACATTTAATTTATAACTTGTACTAGTATCTATGTCAGGGGTCTCAAACTCGCGGCCCGCGGGCCATTTGCGGCCCTCAGTGCAATATTTTGTGGCCCGCACCGACCGCTGTACACTGACGGAATCAGCGTAGCGGGGAGAGAGAGCGCTCCCCGCTCTGCTGATTCTATCCGTACACAGCGGTCACTGGCATTCCCCGCCCGCCGTGTATCGAAAGGGGCGGGGATACCGGTGACGTCACCACGCACCCCGCCCCTTTGTTAGACACTGTGACGGGCGGGAAGTGTTAGGAGGGAACTCGCGCCGGCCAGAACCAAGGTAAGCTGTCCCCCTCTGCCTGCCACTTAGCTACCTATCTGCAGCCTGCCACCTACCTAGCTACAGCCTGCATCTTATATATATTATAGGTAGATACAGACTGATGTGACTGGAGTGGGGTTGGGGGTGTTTTATTTATACATATATACGCCTTTTTTTGGGTGAGGGAATGGAAGACAGGTCTAGACTTAATGATGATCATCTTCAAGCCATACTGAGGGTCTCAACTGCTTCCACTGTAAAGCCAAATGTGGTTCAGATTTGTGAGAAGAAGCGCTGTCAAGTCTCTGGCAGCAAGAAGTAGGCAAAAGATGCCATGTTCAGAAGAACTGTTCATAATCTTCACTCAATGTTCTATTAATGTTCAGGACACTTCATGTTCAGAAGAAATAATTAAAACTGTTAATAATGACATTTGAGGGCTTTTTTTTGTGAAATCCCTTATGTGGCCCAGCCTCACCCAGACTTTGCCTCCTGCGGCCCCCAGGTAAATTGAGTTTGAGACCCCTGATCTATGTTGATGTTACTAGTACTTATTCATTACAAACTAGTACTTATTTGTTAGATACTAGTGCCTATTCTTTAGAAACTAGTGCTTTTTTAAATATACTAGTGCCTGCTCATTAGACACTAGTTATTTTTATTAGATACTAGTACTCATTCATTAGATACAAGTACCTATTAAATAGATACTAGAAGGGCTTTACATTAACACCCTCCAACCCGCCAAATGCAGGTAGATTTTGGTTGTGGCGGGTTAGACAGCCACTCCCACTAACCACTTTGGCTGGCTGAAACTCATTTTTTAATTGCCAGTGCTGGCTCGTCGTCACTACAAATTAGACTGTTAGTTTATGACCGTTTGTCTATATGCGTACAAATGTGATCTTAGAATCAAAAATAAAGGGTTAAAGTTCACAACAATACCACAGTATACAACCTAGTGCTGTGTTTGTTCCTGTCATTTTTCTGACAATTGATACAATAACCTACGCTGCAATGCGGGATTCGTCGGCCGTTTGCTATTGAAGGAGCAGCAGAGACTAGGGGACTTTGTCAGAATATGACAGGGACTTTGTCAGTAACTTTTACAGTTCATATGGACCAGTTTCTTCTACCTCGGGATCATAACATGTAAGTGTCATTAAAATTGTTGCCTCGTTTTGAGTAGTTTGCTAAATATTCGTTCAATTGTGTGTAATTTGTTGTAATCATTGAATGATTACATGATTGGCTGACTTCATATCTGACAAGTGCTAATAACTTTTTAGTACATCAAATCCTGTTAATTCAAAACATTACTGAGAAATAAAAATAAACTCACCAGTCTG